CTCCTCTTCCTCCTCTTCCTCCTCCTCCTCCTTATCCTCCTCCTCTTTTTTTTGGCAGCAACGCCGCGGCCTCTGTGCACAGTAGCTGCTCAACCAGTCCAGAGGCGCAACTGGCAGGCACTGAACCTGTACCTTATAGCAGCGGGATGAATTCGTCGATGTCGACGAACACACCCTTCTTATCAGGGTGCAGGCCTTTTACGGAGCTTCCGCATGTTCTTCACGCCAGACACCGTAGGAGGAGCGCACTTGCGCCCAAGGCCAAACACAACTCCACCGCTGCTATAAAACTTGCACGACATGCACAGGAAAAGGAAGGAAATATCAGAGCATGGGAACGCAATCACCCGATGCCCGAAACGCTCCAGAACACACCTGTCGAGCCTGCTGCGGCCCGAACATTCCGAACCGCCACCCAGCTTGGATGAGGCTCTGGAGCCTCGCAGACACACTCGGCACCTCCAGAAACTTCCTTGGCGTTCCCAATCGTGCTCAAGCACGAGCAGAGATGAACGCGGTGGCTTAGGCGGCTGGACTCGCTCTAAGCCACGGAACTCGACTTTGGGCCAGAGCGGGAGCAACGCCGCTCCGCCCAGCAACACAGCCCTCGCAATCGTTAAGGTGCGACTTAAATCCTCAGCCTCCGTCGGCGTCATAGTCGGATGGCGCCTCGCACCATCCTTCGCCGCCTCCTCCTCCTCCTCCTCCTCCTCCTCCTCCTCCTCCTCCCTCCTCCCTCCTCCTCCTCCTCCCTCCTCCTCCTCATCCTCCTCATCTTCTCCTCTCCTCCTCCTCCTCCTCCTCATCCTCATCCTCCTCCTTCCTCCCCCCCACCCCCCACCCCCACCATCACCACCACCATCCTCTTATCCCGCCTCCCCCTCCCCTTCCCCCTCTCCTCCTCTCCCTCCTCCTCCTCCTCCTCCTCCCTCCTCCTCCGTATCAGCAGCAGCATCATCATCATCAGCATCATCATCATCATCATCATCATCATCATCATCCCCCCGGGCTTCGTTTTCCAGCCAGACGGCGTAGCACGAGTCGACGACCTTTGCGAAACGGAGCGAGCGAGGCCAGACCATTCGGGAGCCGAGCACGCACACCTCCCCTTCAAAAGCAACTAACAAGGAAGAAACTATAAAATGAATGAAAAACAGGGCGGCGTTTGGGGTAGATGGGGGTGAAGCTAGAGCCAAGATAGGACGGAAGACGCAAGGATGCTGCCACGGCTGTCCGCTCTCAAGGATTCCCGTACAAGTACAAGGCATCCCCCCGGGCTTCGTTTTCCAGCCAGACGGCGTAGCACGAGTCGACGACCTTTGCGAAACGGAGCGAGCGAGGCCAGACCATTCGGGAGCCGAGCACGCACACCTCCCAAACCTGTCGGACATCCAGGCCCACCCGATCAGCAATCTGGTCCCGACGGGGCCGCAAACACCATCTTGTTGAACAACTCGGCCTTAGACGAGGCCCACACATTGTAGTAGATAGATGCCAGGGCTTTACAGAGACCAGGAGGATAAGGCTCGGCGATCTTGGACCAGAATACACCCTTGTCGCTTTTCCCTTGGATGGGGATGCGAGGCAGGCCGGAGCGTTTGCACAGGCCACGTTCGGCACCGAGACAGCGAGCTTCGGCGAGGGCGTCCATGCACAGACCCGTGCTGAGGAAGCCTGTCGACTTTCTCCACTGGGCACCCCACATACAGAAATCGGCGACAGTGAAATTGATCTTGCTCGATTTCTGAAGTCTCTGCATGGCGGGGCAAATCCAGATGCGGCTCCGAGCGGGGTTCTCCAGAGTAGCTGGTATTCCCAAAAGCATAGTACCCCGCATCACCGCAACGGAGAAGAACATTAACAGGTTGCCGACGCGAACCTTGTCGGCGTCGGCGGGGCTCAGGTCGTCGAGGCCCATGGGAGACGAGTCTGACCTTAACGGAGGGGGGCCTGGGGGCACATCACGAGCCCGCGAAAACGAGGAGCAGGGCGTTCCCAAGTGGACGCCGATCACGTTGCCTGAGCGGATCCAACCTCTGATGAGGCTGCGGTTCCGAGCCAGTCGCAGATCGTAGTCGGCACTCAGCTCCACGTCCCAGAGAAGAACGTTCACACCCTCTTTTGCGACTGCTTGGCCGAGCCGGC